TTCATCTAATCCATCTCTGAAAAACTTCAATCGAATCACGAAGAACTTGCAACTTGCGCTCTGATACCACTTGTTGGAACCGATGAAGACAACGTAAGAATTGAGATTTGATGAACCCAATATGAAGTATAAATAAAGATCACAAAATAAACAAGAACAAGATTAAAGTAAAAGACCAAAAGACAATTTAAGTAGAGGAACGATTTTATTTTATTCATAGACTATGAAAGGAGAGAACTATAGCAATTGTGGCTTCACCAATACTAGAAAAAGGAGTCTATATTTATAGTACACAAGACAAACCCTAAAAGTAGGAGAAAATATGCAAACTAGGTTAAAAACGCGTAAAACATACAAAATCTGTTGAAGCCAAAAAACAAAACTATGCGGCCGCATGGTTTAGTTCCATGTGATCGCATGGAGTAGACATTCGACAAGAAAAAATTCCCTGCATGCACTGGTGCGACCGCATGGGTTAACCTGTGCGGTCGCATGCAATAGTCTCCGAGTAGGATTTTGTTTCCTTCTTCATGAATACTACTTTGATATCTTTCCATGCAAGAATTCCAATACCCCAATAACATGACTTCGTGATCTTCTAACCTAATTTTGAGCCATAAAACTCAACAGATTCATTAATAACATTGGCCCCGAATCATATTATATAGATATGATCTCTCTTTACGGAGTTGTCTTATGTATAGGGGATGTTTCTTAATAGTTAGTAAACGCCAAAATTGATAGAAACGCCAAATTTGATAGTTGGGACTATCAATATTTTCAACCCATCTACAAATTCGATGATTCTAGAATTAATTATCATTTTGGCCATAGAAGCATTGAGTGAACGAGGAGTTGAAAATTTAAATTAAAAATCTGATTCCTTACGATCCATAATTAGCTGTGAATGGAACGTAGTAATTTATATTGTATGGACAAAAGCTGTCAATAGTAATTCAGTAAATTATATGGACTGTCTATCATGTCCTGACAATTACTATTTGTTAATTGAACGTTGAATCAACTGAGTAAGATACATTGTTATCATTTTGTATATAGATTACCAGATGGGATCCTCATCTTTCACACCAATAGGAATTGGAATACGAATTTTCAACCCATGATTGCTTTCATACAAAGTTTTTTCTTACCATATATCATGAAAATGGAACCCCGTCCCACCTTTAGATATAGCAGGGAAAGTAAAATTGTAATTAAAGATATATGATGAATTCTCATCTTATATCTTTAGAATGGAACACTATTAATCAGTTTAACGTACACTAAGTGATGCCGAATAAAGTGTTTTTATTTGTTTAGTTTTAATTCATTTAATAATCTTTTGTTGTTTTCTGTCTAGAATTTTATTTTGATTAGATAGGTTTCAAGAGTTTGCATTTATGTAAAAGATTAGTTAGGATTTATTGTTCAAAATATATTAGGCCTTCATGAGTTTTTATTATTCAAGAGTTTAGTTATGATTTGCTGTTCGAATAGGAAGTTAATTCGGATTTTATTGCAGATGGTTGATTTTGAATATTGAATAAAATCATGAAGAATTGTTTTTAGTTATCCAGTAAATTCCTTATTCGTTAGCGTTTATTATTCTGCTTGCATTAGTTGGGATTAGAGACAAGTCTACACTCCTTCCTAATGATGGATCGAGAAGGACAAGTTGCAAATCGTAATTCCAAGGTTAATAATGGGGACAGTAGAGATGAATCGATACAAATCCCCTAACAGTTTGAGGTTGTGGCACAAAAGGTGACCATATTGATTAGAAATTAATTTAAAGAAATTCTTCGTATTTAACATAATTTTACAGAGAATTGCACTACTGATTGCCAATGTGTAGTTTGAGTATCAAGTTGGTCACCAGATTTTATAATATTGGTGCTCAAACACAAATGTAATGAGTCGAAATATCTATATTATCATTTTACGATTCTCATTGAAATGTACCCTGTCAACAACTTCAAAAGAGTAGGATGTATGAGATCTTGGAGTCAGTTTTTGTCATTGAGAATGGTTGTAAAATTATGATGAAAATTTGCAGAACTTGCTTATTTTAGAGCTTATGGACCGAATTAACTTGAGCAATAGGTCGAGACCAGTGCTGCAATTTTTCCTATTTTTATAAGTTGCTACATGTAATTAAAAATAAAACTAAAATAATAGTAGTAGTAGTAGTAATGATAATAATAATAGTAATAATAATTATTATTATTAACTCCCTTCTAGAAATGAAAATTGATTTAATTTTTCTAGCGTTTTATGGTCCCAAGTTTAAAAAATAAGGCAGCAATTTCATGGAGACATCTCAGCATGAAATGCTCCACTTAACGTGTTGTTTCTCCCAATAATTAAGGATGCAAATTAATTAATCGTTACAAACAGATGCTGGGCGATCTTTATGGCAATGAGCGAAGCGCAGAAGATGGTGGATGCAGTACAGCAAAACTGTTGCGAAGGTCATGGTGGCGTTAATCTCGAGCCTACAATTGACAGGGTTGCAAACGAAGAACTGCTGCATAGATAGTGATTTAGATTGTTATAGGGATGTTAAGATGAGTCCGACAAATCACTTTTCTTCCTTTATTGAGAGACTGTCTAGTCATAGTGTGCCTATCTTTGTTTTGGATGTTGATTATTAAGGGAACTTTCCAATTTTTCATTTCTAAAATTATTGTGATGATTCTCTTAATATTGTGCCTAGTTTTGAAGTATGTGAGAAAAAAAGAATAATGTTATTTAACCCCAATTTAGATAGCGCTAGATGATATGTTGAATAAAATGTGAAATTAAATAACTTATTTAATTTCAGTTATCATTTAATGTCACATTAACGTCACCTAAACTGGGGTTGTAGCCTTAGTAAGGCTAAATAGCATTACTCAGAAAAAAGTGTGTTAACTTAATTTTCAAAAAAGAGACAACACGTGTAGATTAAAGGAATGATGATTGAGTAAGCCATTGTCAAGCACTTGCACGGGTAATCCTTATATGACAAGGGTTGTATTTAGTCCATGTTTGATGGTTATTATTTATAAAAAATGATGTTTTAATTAGTGATCTATTAAATAACATGTGATTGAAAAGTATGAAAAAGTTTTGGATTTACGTACAAAATATTTTATTGTGCTAATATATGATTAAATTGAGATAGACGGTGGTTTAATTTAGACTTTTCTAGATTTTAAAAAAATAATCTAGGTATATTTTTAAGACTACGTAGAAGTTTCGGGTATTCCCTATGGACTCATTGAAAATCTTTAAAAGTCGGGGGTATAAAATAAAGACTTTTAAAATCTTAAAAAGTTACACAATATTCAAATGTTAATGACTTTTATGAAATCCTCCACGGACTAATTTTTGCATAGAAAGTACAAATATAAAAATTTCATAAAAAGTCTTTCATTCATCCAAAGATTTTGAAAGACTTTCATAAAAAAGTATCTTTCAATCTATAATATTTCTTTTTCCTTTTTCGTTCTACAAATTGCAAACCTCATAGCCATGATCACTGTACCAAATAGCTTGCCTATTTAACGCTTTTTAACGCATTTGCCTCACCTAATCTCGCCTAGCCCTTTAGCTTGGCATCGACGCATCGCCACGCATTATGCTATTTAGAACATTGTCCATGATACTTCATATCTTGTCAGATACCTCATCCCAACCCCAACATGTGATATAAAAAATACACAATCCTTGTTCAGTTTCTAATAGAATAATTGATTGAGGATTTGAAATTTAAATCTTTTCGAATCCAAAATATTAAGTGTATCTTCGATAGTGTGTATTTTTTTTTTCTTTCGAGATTATAAGCTGTAAATTTTATGAAATGAGTGGATATAAAATAGATATAAATTATAAATCCTACAAATTGTATGAATAGAAATGATGTTTGACCATTCAGTAAATTAAAAGTTTTGCCAAGCATAATAAATCTAAAAATGTGTAAAAAAATAAAATAAAATTATGCTACGTTAGAAAGCTATCAATAGTTGAATAATGGTTATACGATTCAACTATTCAGGAATCGCATCGTTAAGTCGGCTGTAACAAAGCACACTATGAGAGATTCTCTTCATTTATGATTTGCCACGTGGGATGTCTCTTGCGAATAGGTTTCAATTTTGTTTAAAATTTAGAGCTAATTACATCTACATGGACCCAAAAACAATAATATATATATATATTGTGGATGCAGTACAGCAAAACTGTTGCGAAGGTCATGGTGGCGTTAATCTCGAGCCTACAGTGGACAGGGTTGCAAACGAAGAACTGCTGCTTAGATAGTGATTTCGATTGTTATAGTGATGTTAAGATGAAGTCCGACAAATCTTTTTTCTTCCTTTATTGAGAGACTGCCTAGTAATAGTTCAATAGGAAGTTAGGATTCTACTGTATTATTCACCTAATTGGTTAACTCGTAAACTAATTTCATTTTATTATATGCATCGCTAACAATGAAGAAGAATCAAAGTTAGCTTGCAATTCCATGAGTTCCTGGAGAGAACGCCGCGGCTTCACATTCTGGATGCTTCGCATAGGAAATGTTGTAGTGTCCGCATTGATATGTTAATTTAATGAAATCACTCAGTGTTAGACGTAAAACAAGTGCTATGTGAGTAAAGGAGATAATCTTCTGCTCCCGATCGAAGAAGTTAGGAAGGTAATTAAAGAGATTAGCAGTACACCACCCACCTAGATTCGATGATGTAACAAAAAGCAGTCCATTGACTGTTACTGCCTTCTGACTGACATCATTGAAACAAAACAAAATTTAAGTGATTAAATTATAATGTTCAACAAACACGAGAAATTTTGGTTTGAGTGACTGGCAACTACTTCAATCATACCATTGAGAACGTGGTGATTTATTTTATTTATCTGAGGGCCAAGTAGAATTATAAAGAGTGGAAAACGCTGTTCAGTTTGTATCAACTGTAATAAAGCAAGCTTACAGCAATTGGAAATTTCAGTTCTTAAACCAAATGGCAGACCCAAACCTTCCAGCAAATAACCAAGAGAATTACTCCGCTCCTAAGAGGGTTTCCTTTGGCCCTTATTACCATGGCAAGCCAGAATTTAGCAGGGTTGAAGGACTCAAGCGTACAGTGCTTGAGGACTTTGCAAGAAGCTACAAAGATTCATTCCACAGACAAATCTCTGAAATGATCGGCCAGATTAAAAAATTTTACGATAGGGATTCTACAGCATATGATGATGAAGCACTAGCAGAAATGATGCTTCTAGATTCATCTTTCGCTATTTATATCATGAAGATTGAATTGGGATGCGGCAAAACATTCGAACACTCCCGTCAGCATCTTGGAATAGCTGAAACGCCATTTTTATCCGAGGATCTGATTTTATTCAAGAATCAAATTCCACTCGGGGTTATTAAGCTCTTGTGTAAATTAATGCATGGAAATCAATGCACTTTAATTTACGACTTCTTAAGTTTCTTTATTTTTAAGAAGAAAGAGCTAATAAGTAGAATTCCTGCAGGAGACGAACGGCAACCACTACACCTTCTGGATGCTTCTTATCAACTACTTGTCAAACACGGGAATGACACAACTAATGCAGGAGAAGAGACTCTTAACCAAGAAAGTTCAAATGAACCAAGGGAATTATACAGTCTTCTACCTGTTTCAGTCACCGACAGCGATATTCCAGCACCAACAAATGCAGGAGTAGAGACTATTACCCAAGAAAATTCAAATGAATACGATCGTCAATCTCTTTCAGTCACCGAACTCAAAGCAAAGGGCATCAACTTCAAACCTAGTTCATATTGTTTGAAGGATATTAAGTTCGAATCCCACAAATTTTATGGGCAACTTCAACTCCCGATTTTCTTTTTTCATGCTAATTCCAAGCTAAGATTTACGCAAATGATTGAACATGAAATGACTCTAGAAAATGAGTATAACTTTACTTTGTTATGTTATGTTAATTTCATGAAGTCGCTCATTGTTAAATCTGAAGATGTTAAGGAACTGCGAGAAAAGAGGATACTCTTCAGCGACCTCGACAGTGATGAGCAGATTGTGGAAGTAATCAAAGGGATTGATACTCACGGACTTGGAACTGACTTCTTTTTTGATAAGGAGAAGAACAAAATTGTGAAGCACTGCAGCAGCAAGACAAAAACATGGATTGCTGATCTATATCACACTCATTTTCGCAGTCCGTGGACTTTTATTTCCTTTCTCGCTGCCACTTTTCTTCTTTGCTTAACTTTTCTCCAGACCTATTATACAATGAATCCTCCCAAGTAAAGGTGTGTGCCAAATTATGTTCTTCAAGTTTTAGTTGAGTGTAAGAGCCTGTGGGCTCATGGGGCTCATGGGCTGGTTTGTCTTCCAGTATTGGGTCAGTTTGTCTTCCTATTAATTCCTTCAAGTATTGTATTGGGTCACTAGTTAATGAAGTCCAAAGGGTTATGCTTAACCCAGTCCAGCAGTAGGAATAAATGCCAGAGTGGACTGAGTCCACAGTCATGTCCGAGTCCGTAGGAAGAATCTGTAGTGCAGTAGTCATGTTCCTTACTTTTCTAAAGTGGAGTCTGTTAGAGGAAGACGTGAGGAACTAGAAGTTGTTGTCATTTGTTTTGTGTTTAACCTTGAAGACATATGAAAAAAGCAGCTATCTGGCAAGTTGCACCATTACAGGTGTTTGGAGGTGAATCCCCTCGAAGTGATTCAGCATTCATTGTTCATTTTTACTCGTATATCAAGTTGATTCTTAACATTGAGATGTGTTTTGACTCTTTGATAAAAGTGTGATTTGATGCTTTTGAACTCATTGTATTATTCTATGTTTGTATTTTTATAATTCAAATCTATCAAAGTAGTATTATAACACCTATTTATCTAATGACAGAGATTGAAAACAATGGTTGTATGTTCTTGAATTCATATTTTGAATGCTGAGAATCTGAAGACAATTTATGCCCTCAAGATGTTAGCTTAATTGCCTTCTCCAGAGATTTCATTGACAATACCATAGTTATCAGAAAAGTAAGAGAAGGGTTGGCAAAATTATTGCTTCTAATCAATTAACTTTATACATGATAATTAATCAGTTTTTCAAGATGAATTGATAGATACATCATCTTATGAAAGGAAAAACTAATAGTGCAAGGACTAAGGGAAGTAAGATTGGGAAAGAATTTTGTTTGTTGGTACCTATAGTACCCGTAACTTCACATTGCACTTTGGGCCAATAGGATTCATGCTATTCACAATGTCACTTGCATTAGTTTTCTTAATTACTTTCTCTCAAAATGGTGCATTCGATTATTGAGATTTTAAGATTTTAGCCTTTAGCTCTTCGACCTAGGTGGTGAATTTTACATTGAGCTATGGTAGAAAATCAGATTAATCTAAATAGGTTAAACGATTGTGATCTTGAAAGTGCCGGAATGATCATCGATAAAGTTACTCACTTTAATTTGGTTAATCATGGTTACTATAAACCCTAACTAAGTCTTTAAGATATTCGGGATATGAGGCATGAAATGACATGATCACGGTGCAAAAATATAAGTCTTATATGACGTTATAAATATTGATTTGCGAATTGTGAAATCGGTCTAGAATAGGATGTCAATTGGGTAAGTAATGAAATGAACGATTAAGGAATTGGCTCTATAATGTATTTTGGGATATTTGAGCAAGTAAAATGAATTTTAAGACATTAAAATAAGCCAAGGACACTTGATTTGTACCTGCATGGATAGATGTAAAATTGAATTTTACTATAAGGAACACCTCGATGCGTAGTACACGTCATGCCTATTGATTTGTACCTTCACTCCTAAGCATTAGTCACGTCTACCACTCCTTTAAGACTTCTTATATGTGGTATATTATCCCTAAATTTCATGCGAAACCTCCAAGGATAAGTAGGAAATCAGGATTTAACCAAAAGGAGACACCACCTAGTAGGAAATCAGGACTTAACCAAAAGGAGACACCACCTACTTACCATGTTAGGACTTGTCACTCTTAACATTAATTTCCTTCAACCTTAAGCCTCCAACACGTCTCCTAAACCCTTGGCGTTTTATATAAGATAGATATAATTCCCGTAAGTCATAGATGGCACATATAGTGCAAGGGAAAAGTCAAAGTTGGCTGCAAGAGGCCACGACCTACTTGGACACCTCATGCTTGAATCCACTTGTCCCTTAATCACATTTTCTGAATCCTTAAGGAAGAGTCACGCCCCCAACCCCTCTAAGACTCTATGTAAACCTCCTACAAACATATTTAGCCTGACAAGTTATCCCCAATCGACCACCAATTGAAAGAGAAAGCAAAAATGGATGGAGAGAGGCAAAAAATAAGAAGCTACTATTGCAATTTGAGGAGGTGAGTTTAATTCACAGTTTTGAAGTTTTCCTTTAGTTCTTTTGGGTGCTTCATAATCTGTTAAAACTATAAACTTTCTTGAGGTTAAGTAAGAGGGCTGTTGATGATTTTATGATGGCAAAAATGGGAGCAATTAACTACAAAAACTTAAAACAAGACAACCTGGACATGCAGAGATTTGGTTGCCAGATTTGAATGATTTAAACTTTGATTTTGGATAATACTTAAGATATAAATTGTATCTATGTAAATGACTGTTGTTATATGAGAGTTATAAGAATAGCAATGGTCTTCTGACAGCCTAGAATCTGATTCGTGGCATGCTAATAAAATGGAAACCGAAAACAGTCACAGGGAAAACTGCCTGATTTGGTGTAGTGGAAAATGGACGGTTTTTGAAGCTGGAAACCCTTCATTTGTCACAATATTATGACCTGTTTATCTTCACATATATGTTATAGGTGTGTGGTAAAAGTTTGGAGTCGTTAAATGTACTTAAGGGCATGAAAAAAGAAATCCAAAAATGAGTGGACGGTGATGGAAACCTAGAACCAGATTCTGTCCATTTACAAGTTTAAGGTAGTTTTACCTTTATATATCCATCAATGATCTCTTGGGCCTAGAAAATAGATTCTAAGGAGTATTATGTTGTCAACAACAATTGGGTGATGTCGACGCTCATAATTGGACACGAGAAATAGTGAGATTTATGGGGCTAGTTTGTAATAACTCCGGTAACTTGAAATAATGATTTCGTCTAAATTTTTTTTAGGATTTTGTGGCTTAAGGTTATTAAATTGAGGACTGTCTTTAATATTATATGGTAATACATGTGATTTTTCAATATTGAACGAAAAAGAAAATTGATACACACTCCGTAGGAGCTTGCACACACAAAGGTCAAAGTAAAAATCTATTTGCAACTACGATGCAAGAGCCTAGTATTTGTGATATGTTAATATTAGAGTAGTTACATAACTTTGATAAGAGGTTTATTGCACATCATATGATGGTTATGATCGTTGAGTATACGATTGCGGAACCTATTGACATCAATTTTCATTAAATAAGTCATTCATGAGCATTTTTATATGTATGCACGACATGTGATCATGGTTGAAAATCATGCATGCAAAACATGATTTCAAATTGACTTTTTCTTTATAAATATTTTATTGATCACTACTAGGGCACCAAGGCAACCGAGGCATGCTTATGTGATATATTTGGCATCCGAGTGATACTTCTTGGGTGATTGCAAAGGTAGATAGGGGATGGGCCTTTGGTGATTATGAGAGGGTGGACCACTCAACTGTGCCCTTGTGATATTATGATTATTGGCGCTGTTGGGTGAGAGAATTCTTGGGTGATCATAGAGGCAGTTAGGAGATGGGCCTCTAGTGGTCATGAAAGGATGGTCCACTCACTGGTGTCGATTTCATATTGGCCATTTCATTATTGATATTGATATTATATAGAGCTTAAGGGCCCAATGAAATGAAAATTTTCAAATGAAATGATTTCGAGTTGACTTTGATGAATATTGGAATATGATGCATCTTCATCGTGGCATATATCATTATTGCTCATGACATGCATGATTTTTTTTGCTCATATTCATGACATGCATGATTTTTCCTTACTAAGCATTAGCTTATGTAGTCTTGCATTGTAGGTGAGCATGGAGCTACATAGAGATAATGACTAGCTATGGAGCTCTTATGGGATTTTAGAGTTTGATGTACATGGATGACGAACTGTAGGGTTATTTTGTGGGCTATCATTTTGAGCTTATGGTATATTGGGTTATATGTTGGGGATCTTGTGTTGTATATCTTTTGACATGGCCTGTAGGCATGTTTATAACCTCAGAATAGATATGTTGGGTTATGATGATTTAATGTTGGTTTCGATATAATATATGATCGTCATATGTGATTAGGAATTAACAAATAGGGACATACTTGTGAAATTTCTTATGTCGTGTTATCAGGTGAAAAATTATGTGGAATTCTATGTCTAGGTTGAGTCATCAAGTTCATTCCCACACAAGGTAATGTACATTTATCTATATAAATGGGGTTGTGATAGAGAGTGGTATCAGAGCGAGGTTATAGTTCGATAGATTGTCCATGTATATGATCTAGAAATACGAAAGAGCACAGCTATGCCAGTAAGATTATTTGTTGCATTATTTTTGCATACTTCATGAATGATATTGGCCAATCTTTATTATGATTATGTTGTAAAATGGATATAGTCATGGTAAGAATTAGAAGTGAATGTAGTAGAAAAAATAGAATTCCAAAGCAAGATTCAAGTACCCCGGATAATAATAGAGGTGTGTTTATTGATAGACTGATAAGAAATAAAAAATGTCCTGTTTTACATTCATTAATACTTTCATTTTTGTGATTAATTAACGCCTAAATGTACTGAGTATCCTTATATATTGATTTAGGTCGCAATTGGATGATTATGGCATAAATTAGAGGAAAGGAGTGAAGAAGGACCAAAGTGAAAGAAATCAAAAGTTCAAGGACTAAATTGCAAATATTCAAAAGTTGAACCGGGAGACGAACGATGGAATGAAAATTCAAGAGTTTTAGAGGTCAAGTGGATGAAGAAATAAGTCAAAGAGGTGAAATATAGTCGAAGTATAATCACACATTAATTTTTCGATCGAAAAGGTTATGCACCAATTTTTAGCATCATATTGGGACCCATTTTCGACAGGGTAGACGATCGAATCGGAAGATGACCTCTGAAGTAAAGTTGTAGATCTTTGAGTTAGATTTCTAATGCAACTTCAAAAATCTCAATCGAACATTAGGAGAGAAATTTATGACCAAAATATTGAAAGCTGTCCGGCGGAGAAAATCGTATAACCATGCGGTCGCATAGTTCATTTTCCATGCGGTCGCACAAGCCATTCCAGCAATCTCAGGACCCTGTTTTGATGTAACCATGCGGTTGAATGGTAGAAACTTTTGACATGATTTTTAGTTTCCTTTTTCCGTCCAACCATGTATGGAAACAAATCATTTCACCACATAAATACCCTAATTCACCCTTGAACGTGAGAGAACGC